AATTATATTAGCATAAATTCTGTCAGATTAACAAAAGTAATTTTATAATGACACAAAAAATTTAAAATAATTAAAAAATAATTATAACTAAGCTAATCTATTCAAAATGTGGCTGACTAGACATTTTCAGGAAAACAAAAACTAAGTCAGCTTGCTGTCCACAAATGTCACTAACAGAATTCCTCATGTATTTCCAGAAGGAAATAGAGCACAAAGTGATGTAAGCAGAAGCAAATTTAAAGAAATTATTATAATTAACATCTAAATAAGTCTAAATAAGCATTGCCTAAATAAATCCACAATAATAATGGAGCAAAGGAGGATGAAGAAAGGAAGTATGTCTCTTCACAACAGTAGAGCTGGAGGGGAAATGATGATAAAATTAATGCAAAAGAGGACAATTAAAAAGAAAAGGAAAAAAGCTTAAAAATTCAAAAGTACAAAATAAGGTGATAAAGATAAAATCAAATACATCGGTACATAAAATAAATGTAAGATTTTAGATTTTACATTTGGATTAATATAGGCTATTAATAGAAAATGTCAGGTTGTTTTTTTTTAAATATATGTTCTTTTAAAAAGATATGCTAAGAGGTAAAAATACAGGTACCTTTAAAAAAGAGAGATGGGAAAATGAAATCTCTGTAAAACATTAGCAAAAAACAGTCAATGTACCATTATTAGTATCATCTTAAATAGGCACAGATGTATCTGATATTACTGATCATTCTATTGCTTAGGTGCAATCAATCACATCCTGCTGCCAACAGAATACATTTCAGACTCTAGCATAACTTTCAAAGCTCTTCAGCTTTAGCTACAAAGTTCTTTTGGACAGTGAAGTTCATCTTTGATCTCTCAGCTCCTATCATAAAGCTAATATGAAGTAGAGCTCAAATATTTATTTAGTTCAGATGAAAGAAAAAAAATCATGATTCATGCAATCATTGTGACATTTACTTGCATAAGGCCCTTTTCAGCTTTTTTTAAGATATATTTTTCTCTGAGAACAAATAGAGAGGAGGAGCACATTTATAGTGTGGATCTAATGTACTGACAACTAAGCAAACTCTTTCCCACACGGCTCTTCTTTTCCTGCTTCCTCTCTATTGCTGTGCATGGTAACAACAAAAGCCTTTATTTTTTCAGAGGGTAATTCATGAAGAATTCCCTCTGTTTCTTATACTCCCTTCCTTTCCTCAATTTTCCATTTTCTCTTCCTCCTTTCTTTTCCTCTCCCTTCTTTCCTTCACTCCTCCCTGCTCATTGTAAGTTGATCTCTATTATTCAGAGCTTGTGAAAACAAGTGACGGTAAGAGGTGCCCAACACAAAAATAGAAAGTCTTTCCTGTTTAGATTTGTGAATTGACAATGACAAATTAAATGAATACTTTATATAAGCTGCCTCTCATTGGTCCAGACCTAATGGTTCTTATCCAACAGGGCATCTGGACAGCTATTCTATGAGTCCACACTCTTTCCTTAATCATCCTTGTATGCACTAGGGATGGTTGGGGTACAGTTTTGCATGTGTGAGTGTGTATGTATAATTTGAAGAAGCTCTCTAAACTATTCTAATAGAATTTCCTTTCCACCAACTATAGTCCTAGAAGAGAATCCCTGATATAAGTGGGACAGTGTCACACCTGAAGATAAACACCTCTCTCTTGTGGAGCACAGCAAACAATATTCAGTATCTGGTGATAAACCATAATGGAAAAAGTACTGAGAAGAATACACATGTATGTATAACTGAGTCACTTTGCTATACAGCAGAAATTAAACACAGCATTGTAAGTCAACTCTACTTCAGTAAAATTTAAAAAACAATAAACAACTCTCTCACTACAAGATAAGCACCTCCAATGTCATCATATTAGGAACTTGTGTCTGATGATTTATACAATGAAGCCCTGAAGAGGACATGGACATTTTCGACAGAACACTTTTTTCATATTGAGCTAGGATACGCCACCTCCTTGGCCCTCAACCTAAGTATGAATCAGCATCAACGGGGAGCCTTAAAAAATTAGATGCTTAAGTTTCATACCCAGAGATATGAATTCAGTTGGTCTGACTTTGGTCCAAAAGGCATTTTTTAAAGCTTCTCCAGGTATTTCTAATAGGTAACCAGAACTGAGAAATCTTTCCCAAACTTGTCATAATTAAATCAGTGTCATTTGGGGAATTTGTTCATATATTATGAAGAGTGAGATCCAAGCTCACTTAGAACTTTTGCCCCCAAAATTATAGATATGAAGATGTATGAACTTTTTGAGGTGCAGCACATTATTAGAAGTCTAAGTGTACAGACTCTGTTGTCTATAGACAGTAATAAACAAAAGCTTTGGCAAGCAGAAAAGAAACAAAGAGAATACCCTTAATGAAAAATACTGAGAGCCTCAGGAAGTGATGGAAAGTATATAGAAAAGTAGATCAAGAATACATGGGGAAGGAACCAAAATGGGAAAAGAGAATAACAAGACAAAAATAAAGCAGCAGGTAGACGGGAAGGAGAAAGGATGCACAAGTTAAAATGTTAGTCAATTTTTTATTAATTTTTGTGATTTTCCACTACTCTATCCAATACCATATCTAGGTTTGTGGCCAATATTAAAACTAGATATCCAGTACACTCGTCTTAATTAATTTCCATTCCATGAAAAATTTAAAGGTGAATTATTATATTTAATGTGTATTTTTTACATTTTTTCTGATAGATCATTTTACATGATAGAAATGTACCTTTAAATGGCATTTCCAAGATCGAAACAAAGACAGAACAATTAAATACAAAAACAAAAGCAAAACCTTTATTCTTTGCCTTGATTGTAATGTGGTTTACCGTTCTTTATGGTAATAGCATTTTCCTGCATGCATTTCACCAACACACTACAAGTCAATAGCTTTAGTATAAAGAATCTACATTTAATGTTGCTTGTGAAAGAAACACAAAATGTTTTGATGTGACTGGTAATATAATTTCATTTATATGATTTTTGTGGAATAAAGCTTGGGTCTCATACCATATCTGATAAAGTTCTAATGTCTTATGGGTTGGTAAGAATACGATCTATCTGTGTAAACAAACACTGGAAAAGACTGATGATTTACTGAATAAAAAGACTGGGTGGAAACATCTGATTCAAGCAATGCCAAGAATATCAACTCATCTGTTCCTTAAGCCTCTTTCGATGATAAGGCATCACTATGAAAGCAAATAAATGCTGGACTCAGTCTGAGATTCGTTTCACATTGAAATGTGTGCAAAGTTTACAGTACTAATAAAAAGCAGGAATCTACACTGCATTTTAGTCTTTGTTTCTTACTTCATGAAGTGCTTTAATTTAAAAGTGCTAGGAACAGAAACTAACAATAGTGACTGTGACATCAACCTGAAGATACTTTTAATTTCTCATTTATGTACAAAAAGGCTGAAAAAGAAAATAAAATGAACTTTGTACAATATTTATATTTTCTTAGAAAACTCTAACCGTATATTTTCAACAGAATTAAGCAGCTTGCGACATGTTTGTACAATTGGGCTTTTTACCATAGAGTATTCAATTAAGATTGGAAGGATAAAATGCAAGAAGCTCTTCATTGTTTGCTGCAACCTATTGCTTAATGACATGAAGAATGAGGTCTTGGTAGAACAATTTGCTTCACTTTACCACTGACATATGGCTTCCCATATTAGACTTCTGAACAGTGGAAAGAATAAGATGCAGCAGCAGAGGCAAGATAAACATGCAGCAGTGACAGCATCAAACTATAATGGAACCAATTACATCATATTACCTGTTGAAAGCTTGCAAACTCTACTTCTGTGGTACATATTTGATGCAATAAATACTGTGCTTAAGTCATCATTTTTGTTTGCTCAAACATGCACCACTGGGTAAAATTACTATTTACAAAGCAGACTTTTTTATTTTTTTAAATTGACATATTCTATGTCAACCTTACCAAGAGCAGAAGATGGCTAAACAATACTGTAGGAAAAAGCAGAATCAACTTTATAAAGTGGTGGTGGGGGATGCTTTTTGGTCAGTTCAGGTTTTTAGAAAGGACTGATAGGATATTTTTATTTTACGCCAAAGGACACTTATCAAAAATGTTATAGTCATGCTGCCAGAACTCAGAATGACTATGTAATGATGTGTGTATATGTGTGTGTATACATATATATGTATATACATGCACATATACATATATACATGTACATGTAATGAATTATGTAAAAATAAAACAACTTTTTAATGCTTGTGGATTCTATGGAACATTTACAGGCACAGTAAAATTTTTCTGGATGAGACACCTTAAAAACATGAATAGCTATTTAAGCACCTCAAAAACCTGAAAACATCCTGATACAAGAAGTAAACTCTTTCCTTTTGGGACGTGATTTTTTTTTTTTTTTACATGAGAATGAGAAGTGCAGCATGCTTTCATTTAAAATATATCCAGTTATACAATAGAGAAACATAGAATTTCTTACCTTTACTCCCTCTCCCCAAACATAAACCCATTTACAAAAATAGTCACATATAATAGTAAACAACCTGTGAATTAAAACAAAAAGCGACCAATTCACAGCATACGTTTTGTAAAAATATGGCAGGTGTGGCAGTCAGAACATAAACACTGGTGACGATTACTGTTATCAAGTGTCACATGTTGAATTTACATAAAAATTTAACTTCCCTCCCCCCTTTAAATTGGTTCCTAGAGTCTGAGTAGCCATTACTCTCTGCTCTTCAGCAGTGTCAGCTGGTTGTGAACACAGAAACCTCCTGTCGATGCTGTTTCTCTGGTTTGTTGAGTTCCAGTTTGCTGACCAGAGGCCCCTGTCTTGATATAGGCACTGACCTTAAGTATACATTTGTAAAAACAGTCAGTTTGGCATAGACCTCCTGTGGGAGTCCTGTTGACACCAACACATCACCATCACGGGCTGTAAACAATGGATCACAAAGTGGAGTATTCTTTGTTTCCTTTTACTTTTTACTTTCCCTGATATCTTTCCCTTTGTCTTCCTTTTCTGATTTGTCTTTTTCAAATTTTTCTTTCTCGGGTTTGGTCACACTGTCATAGGAAGGTGGAGACGTGGTGGAAGGGGTCATGTCGGTTTTCTCTGGAGTTGAATTCTCATTGAGTTTATCAATGAGGACATCTTCTTTGATGGGTGTTCCCTCCCCCTCTTTGCCTTTGTCTTTCTTATATATACATGAAACTTTCTTAACTTTTTGCTTCAAGAGGTAGCGTCTGTAAGCCCTCTGGATAACAATAGCAGACACCTCCTCTTGTTTGCGTTTCAGAGTGGTTGTGATGGGCTCATACGAGACTTTGGAGGGGTTCGATGCCATGAATCTTTCTTCCATCTGTATTCGAAGGGCATCCATCTCTCCACTCTCACCCAAAACACGCTTTGTAAAGGCAAATAAGATGTCGAGGCAGTGGATCCTGTCCCCACTGACCATGGGCAGGTCCATGGCAATGAGCTGGACTTTGTTTGGTTTTGCTATGAGAAGAGGAGGATCCAGGGCCGCTGCAAAGTCAGAGAGCTTGGAGAACTCTATGAACTGGGTGGCGTCGGGATCGAACTTCTCCCAAACCTCGTAGAACATCTCAAAGTCGTCCTCACTCAGGGGCTCTGCGCTTTCTTCAGTAGCAACACTGAAGTTCTCCAGGATGACAGCGATGTACATGTTCACCACGACCAGAAATGATATGATGATGTAACTGACGAAGAAGAAAATCCCAACAGACGGGTTCCCACAGTCTCCCTTAACTGAGCTGCCAGGGTGATCTTTTTCAGGGTCACAGTCTGGAGGTCCACTGTTGAGGATAGGTGCTAGCAATCCATCCCAGCCAGCAGAGGTGGTAATCTGGAAGAGGCAGATCATGCTGTTGCCGAAGGTCTCAAAGTTGAACATGTCATCAATTCCAACCTCCCTCTTAACATAGGCAAAGTTGGACATTCCAAAGATGGCATAGATGAACATGACCAGGAAGAGCAGGAGGCCGATGTTAAACAACGCAGGAAGGGACATCATCAAAGCAAAGAGCAGCGTGCGGATCCCCTTAGCCCCTTTGATCAGACGCAGGATTCGGCCAATCCTGGCGAGACGGATCACTCGGAACAAGGTAGGGGACACAAAATATTTCTCTATCAGCTCAGCCAGAAACATACCTATGGAAAGCCAAGATACAACAAAAATAATGTTATATGTAATGGCAGCAAACGAAAATGTACATTTCTAAGATAAGCACTATTTTTACAAAATGTGGACATGAGAATTAGGTATACACACACACACAAGCACATACTAGTTTTATAAAATGTGGACATGAGAATTTGGTACACACACACATTTACATATACATAATCTGAAATATTCATTTAGCAAAATGAAACTGGTATGTTTAGTGCTATAACATTAATAGCTTTATACTAATTGAAGGCACTAATGGTCATTTTTCCTGGTTTAAGTAAAGCATATATCAAAAGACACAATATGTATGGTAGCCAAGCACAGAAGTGGATTTATGTTTCTGAAATACTAGTTTTATACCAGTATTTGCACAAGAACTAATGGATAAAGCATGTGGTTTTAGATTAGGAATATGAAACTTAATTCTTCTGAAATGGTCTGATCAATTTTATCTGGGAGGTGGCAGAAGAGACAATCCAGGCCTTCCAGACAGACATACTTGGGACTGAATCCTGGCAATGATTTTATGCATTGCCAAATGGTGATAATAGCTATTAAATAGTTTTGCTGTTGTTAGTTAGGCTTAACATTTACTAAGTCTTTTCTTTGTGCTAGACATAAATGCTAAGTGCATTTACTTTCATAATCTCATTTAATCCTCACAACACCACTTTACAAAATAATTTCTTGGGAAACCAGGAATCGGAGAGATGAGATCCCTCTTGTCATAGATCACAGAACTGGTAAAGAGTGAACCCATGGATGCACCAGGTCAAGTCTGTATAACCCAGGAGTCTCCTCCCTTAATCACTACATTACTTCCCAATACACCATCATTGGGATCAAATGGAATGATACGTTATTTAACCAGCAAAAGTATATAAACAGTGGAATACAACTTTTCTATGTGTATGTTCTCTCTTCTCAAACAGGCAGAACTTTACTTCCGGCACCTGATTTAACATCCTACACACAAGAAATATGTATTGATGAAATGAATCTGCTTTGATTTTTTTGAACAAAATGTCCACTTTTGAAAAAGAATATTATACACTGTAGAAAATTATCTGAACCCAAAGATGACATGAGGCTTGTTTGAGTGTGAATATATATAAACACACAACATGCTATTCCAATTATCAAGGACAATTATTTGACTACTTCTATTGATTAATATGTGTACATGTGTGTGAATTGTTTATTCAAAGCAGTACTTGTCTACACCACAGGAGTATGACTATTATGCCAAAGTTGCGGTTATTTTCTTCTGGCATGAGACAAGATGATACATGAAAGCTGCATGTATAATATAATTATAAATAGTATAAATTCTCTTTTTTATATATAATTTCATGCACAGCACACAATTAGATAAATGACAAGCTGAGAATGGACTCTTCATTAGACTTCATTTGAAATTTGGGGATGAATGAGAAAGTATTAGTGAAAAATACTCTAAAGTTTTAAAACACAAATGTTTACTCCTAAAAATTTCACTTGAATGAAAGCATTCTTCTTACCTACAATGGAGAGAATAACCACCACAAAATCAAAAATATTCCATCCAATGGTGAAATAGTAATAACGAAGAGAGATCAGTTTCAGCACGCATTCTCCAGTGAACAGAACAATAAACACCAGATTAATCCAGTACAGAATGTTGGTCATTTCTTGACTCTGGTCATCAGTCTCCACCATCATGGTGACCATGTTGAGGCAGATAAGGATCATGATGCTGATGTCAAAGACTTGTTTGGTTACAAAATCAAAGACCATCCCTTGGAATTTGTTCTGCAAAAAAAAAAGGAGTATGTGAAATTCCCTTAGAGACTGAAAAACAAATCAAATCCAACTTATCTGATTTTAACATAGCAATATGAAAATACAGCTTTTATTACAAAACATTCCATGTTTGCTTTACACTTGGAAGAAAATTTCATATACTGGAATATCCAGCTCTTTCCAAATGTATTTGTTCTATTTATACTGTTTATGATAACAGGTTTTGTAAACTGATTTTTTGTTAAGAACCACCATTTAGTTTCTCAGTGCCTAAAACATAACCATGCACACAGCAGACAGTTAGTGAATATTGGTCACTATAATGAATCTTTGTTATCTTCTGTGTTTGGGGTGAGCATCAAAATTAACTTTGAAGAACTAATGAATAAATACTTTTCTAGCTTTTTTGGGTCATTTCCCCCCTAGTTTCTTCCTTTATATTCCCTACCCACTATGAGCAGCAAAGCCACAGCATCTTAAATTCTACCTTAAAGTTTAGCTGAGAAGATGCTTTTAAAATTATAGTTCAAGAAAAAGGATATTGGTGGAATAGTTGGTAAAATCCAGTTAAATTCTATATTTTTTTTGATAGTATCATACCCGGGTAAATTTCTTAGTTTTGCTGACCCATCTATGGTTATGTAAGATGTTAAGACAAAGGAAAGCAGAGTGAAGTTTACATGAGGTAACTGCTAAAAGAATAAAATCATCTTTTAAAAAATTATAGCTTAAAATTTCAATGTTCAAACTTTGCCCTATTCAATCTAGACCTAACTTCCAAGCACTAACTAGCCTTATGTCTTGTTTATGAAATTAAGTCCTTGTCTTGTAAACCAATTATGTGCACTGAGCCCTGTTTTTTCCTTCTTTTCAACTCTATGTGCTCAATATTCATCATCCTAGTGCTTGGAACTTGGATCACCTCTGCTAGGTCGTCCTCTACCTTCTCAACTAGAACTACAGACCTTCTGCTCCATCTACGCTCATAGTCTGCATTCCAGATGGATGCCTTTAGTGGTCTGGATTCTCTGTGCTCGTGTTCTGCCCCTGCCCGACTAGTAGAGGCATCCATTACTCCATACTGGAATTCTGGGATATCAAGTAGTACTAGTTTGTTATATTTTGCTATTTTCTCTGAATACACATATAGCCTGATGGACTGGACTTACCTTGTTTCAGCTGGATCTGTTCTTCAAGGGCCTCCTTCAACTTAAACGCATCTAATTCCAGTTCTAAGCCCCTTGTTCTTAGCTCTTGTGTACTGAAGTCTACCTTTCCAACCCTGGTTATGTTCCCCTTACTTCTACCCTTCTGATACTTGCTACCACTCTTGTATCATACTGTTTTATCTTGTTTATCCATCGCCTCTGTTATAACACTTCTGTCAAGGAGCATTATTAGACTCCCCTTCTCAGTCTGGTGCATCCTAACTCAGTTTTAAGTTTTAAGCACTCTGTGATCTCAGACAATTTTGTGCTTACATTTTTCATAACATTTATGACATTTTATTGTGAATGGCTTGCTTTTATTTACTTAATAAAATAATTTTCTTCTGCAGATACAGCACATAGAATGAAGCAGATTCAAAATGGCTTAAAAGCAGCAACTTGCTATTTATGTTCATATTAGCATTTTCAGTAAAAATCTCTTTAGATTCTCTGCCCGTTTAGTTTTCCAGTGGGTTAGATCAACATACAACTCCACTACACAGTCATTGTCTCCAATTTAAATTTCAGAATATGCTGGAGGAAGCTGTATAACCTTAGAGGCCATGTTCACTAGAGGCTTATGTTTTCTCACTTTATCTTGGCTCTTAATGATTAGCAATCCTTTGTCCCTCACCTGCTCCCAGGATAATTCCAAACTTCTCAGAAATTTCCTATTCTCTTGCCCTTTATTCTTACTTCTTTTGTGAGAACACCAAAGTCAATTGTTATAAAGAAACTCCTCTACCTTTTCGTCATTTTATATATCATTGATTTCCACACCTATCTTTTTACATACTACTCCAAATTCATGGAGGACTCAATCCCTTCTCCTCTGTAACCTAATCCACACTGTTTTTGAGCCACAGCCTGTGCAGTTTTATTCTATATTTATTCCCTTTCTCTTCAATCTCTTCCTCTCCAGAATTCCTGCTTTGCTCTGACACTAACCTCTCAATCTTTACAAACACTATTTTACTACTACTTCTAACATTCATTCTCTTTCGGAGTCCCCTTTTGATTTTCAAATTCTGTAAACTAGCATCGCCAATTGTTTTCTCCATTCATGTCCCTACTTCTTATTCTGTGTGACTCCACCCTTCATCCCGTGTGTAAGGCAGAGACTTATGAGTCATCTTTGTTGCTTCCTTCTTTACGTCTTGTATTCAACTAATAAACCTTTTAATTTCACTCCTATGATAGCTCACAGATCCATTTTATTCCTCTCCACACCACTCCGGTTCAGGCTGACTATCACCCCTGAAATAGTTTCACCAGGAGTCTACACTGCACACATGCCTCTGCCAATGCTGGTTCAGTGACAGTCACAACACCCAGACTGACCAGCTTCTGCTCAATGGCTTCGCTTTGCTCTAAGGACAAAGACTTGTCTTAATGTGGCCTAAGAAGCCCAGAAAAGTCCGGACCATCCTAACCTTTTCATTCTCACCATGTCCCAAATGAACCCCCACCCTCTGCACTCCAGCCTCACTGGCCTTCCTACCTCAGGACCTTCACATATACATTCCTCTTTTCTTCTTACATGGCCTGTAGACACTTCCTCATTTTCCTTCAGGCCTAGGCTCATGCTCAGTAAAGCCTTCCTTGATTAATCAGCCCCTTCTTTCTTATCAGCTCTCATAGCTAAATGGATTCTTTCCTTCTTGGATATTTCTATTTCTTGGTGTGACTATTTGATTACCAAATAGACTCTCTGTTTAGTATTTAATTCCAAATGCTTAGCATCATACATTGTAAATGAATGACTGAATAGATGGATTTTACCACATATTGTTGCCAATAATATTCTAGCTAAATGCACTAATCATTTCCTGTGCATCCCTACCCCTATTAAAGTAAATCTACATGCTATCTGATGTAATTAAACAACCATTAAAATTTTTTTTCTCATTATCTACATGTATGTGCTGCCTTACTAATAAATCTCACTCTTTCACTGATTTACCTCTTCTATAAAATGGTGACGTGCACAAGGCTTCATGCTCAGCAATTTTTTTTTTCGGTATATTATAATTATCTTTCAAAAATGAACCTAAGATTTAGAGCTCAACTGAATTATGTCTGACAATGACAACTCTAAAATTCTTATCCCATATTCATAAGACCTAATCTTTCCAAATGCCTTTACAGGACTTTCAGTTACATTAACAGAATCAATAACTTCAAAAAACATTAACTGCTTTATATTCTTTATTATCTGTATGTCCTCCCTCTTTTCCTATATTTTACAGGTTCCTCATCCCACTGAGCCTTCTTGTTGGCTCATTTATTTCCAGTCCTATTGGCATGACCCTATACTGTGGACTCATCTTCTTGTATGTAAGGATTCATCTTCTTGTCTAAGCCCCAGCACTACTTTGTCTCTAACATTTTCCCATACCAGTCCCTAAAAATCTCTTTTTCTTCACATTACCATGCTGTTCACTTAACTATATCGCATTTTTACTTGGCTAAATTAAATGGATTTATTCGGATTCATAGTGGGCTTGACTCATTTGACCCAGAAAACCTTGTGTTTCCTACTTACTATTTCAAAAAATAAATCACTATTCTCCACTGCAATATTTATTTCCATGACTTTGGAGTGTATGTTTTTCACATAAGTCATTACTCTGCTTTTCTCCCTTATCCATCCGAGTTGTATTATTTCTCAAAAAGTAGGCTCAAATTGTACATTCCTTATGTTTTGTCCAATATTACTATCCACTGTCTTTGGGCTTTTGGCTAACTTACAAATAGAACAGGGGCATGACCAGTTTTAGGTTAGCCAGTTTTACATCATCACTAATGGAGTCATAGAGTCGTGTTTCCTGGGGAACACTTGATTACCTTGCACCATGTATGCCTTCAGAGAGGAGTTCTGAAACATGAAAGAACTCAGGGACTCTTCTGACAACAATTCTTGTAGCAACCAAACAGACCAGTAAAGTCAAGTCGCTCAGTCGTGTCCAACTCTTTGCGACCCCATGGACTGTAGCCTACCAGGCTCCTCTGTCCATGGGATTTTCTGGGCAAGAGTACTGGAGTGGGTTGCCATTTCCTTCTCCAGGGGATCTTCCTGATGCAGGGATCGAACCTGGGTCTCCAGCACTGCAGACAGACGCTTTACCATCTGAGCCACCAGGGAAGCCCCAACAGACCAGTAGCCACTGGCAAATATACAATCGCAATCACCAGAAAAAGCCATAGAGAATGATGTCATCTGATTTAGGGTCAAGATGCTTGGAGGAAATAGGAAATTTTTCTTGAAAACTAGGAACAAACAAGACCTATGACTTGTTTCATTAATTATTCCATTCAATCTGCAGAGTTGGACAGAATATGGGGCATATCCAAGAGGTATCAATTACCCCAATTGGTCCTCACTGCACTCTGAGAACATTCAATATTTCCACACTATGTATATTAATATGTTTTCTTTTCTACATTGTTAGAAGCTCCTCAGTGACATCAATCCTATGGAACAATACTGGTATATAAGCCTGAACATTTTTACTTATATATATTTTATGTCTGTGTATACAATATATTACATGATTTCTACATATTATGTACCTAAAAATACAAAATATTTAGACTATTGAGGCTATCTGGTCACATTGCTAAGGCAGAAACTGTTTTGCAAATACATGAAAATTAGTATCTAGCAATTTGGGCTATAAAAGTGATAGATAACAGCTTTTGTTAATGATGAAAGTATGCTATTCTTACAGCAGGTCGAGGTATGGGTTTTTGTGGTTTCTTTGAACCCAATTTTTTCATTGCATTGTAGTATTTCTTCTGTTCTTCTGTCATAAAAATGTCTTGACCTCCAAAGTAAAGAAATGAAAGGAAAACTTGTAAAAATCATGTTCTTTGCTAGCTATAAAATCCATATTAGTAATTGTATAAAAAAGTCTCCATATTCTATTCTAAAGTTACTAACATGTATTTTAGATATGCATATATTCAATGTGTAAATTAGATTTCTATACTGAAAATAGCACTTTCAGATAGCTGATAGTAATTCAGCTATTTGAATTATCAATCACTTAAAAACTCATAGATGATTAAGTCAAAATAATTTCTGAATTTTATATTCTTTCTTTTTGATGAGTGCACTTGGAGCCAAAAGGAAACAGTGTGATATGTTTAGTTAGCACTTTAGAGCAAAGGTGAAGTTTTAGTATACTTATCTTTTTTTTCTGCTGGTTGAAGTTATCTATGATGACACCAATGAAAAGATTTAGAGTAAAGAATGAACCAAAAATGATAAAGATGACAAAATACAGATACATGTACAGATTGTCTTCATACTTGGGTTGTAATTCTACCTACAAAATATGAAAAATGATAACCATTAGACCTAAAACTTGCTTCATAGAAAAGACATCAGTGAATTTTCAATTCTCAAAGCATATCTCTATACACTGGAAATTTTTTAAAAATTAAACAGATTTTAGGAAAGATCAAGTTCAACACACTTACTGAAGAGTCTCCAAACTCTTTCATTGACTTGAGAAAATGAAACAACTCATAGAAAAGTCTGAATAATTAAAATTCATTTCACCCAATAAATGCCTAGGATATGAACGCACTTTTAAGACCCCAATGGGGCATGCAGAGTGAGGACTTCCTACAGAAGTGGTACTACAGTTATACTAGTTTATGTTAAAAACTTTCAAATTTTACTCTCTCTGACTCAGTTTCTTCATCCATAAAATGGAAAAAAAAAAACGGAATCAACTCTAATATGGTAGTTCAGAAGGCTAAATATGTTACTATATGAGAAGTGTTAGAACAGAACCTGGCCAATAGTAATAGGTAAGAGTAAGGGTTTGACTTCTGTTATATATTTCTCTTGCTAGACTAGAATTATTACCGTATGTGTTGACATAAGTATATAAGTAGGATCTTTCCTTTCTGAAAATGAGTCTATTGATTCATTGTACTCAGCAGGTCTTAAGTACTGTTTCTGTAACAATGATGCGCTCTCTTATCTAACACAGTTCTGGTTTGTTTGTTTTTTCAAGTATGAATAATATTGATAATGCTCAACTCTTTTAAAGATATGAAAGTGAAAGTGTTAGTCACTTAGTTGCATCTGACTCTTTGCGATCCCATGGACTGTAGCCTGCCAGGCTCCTCTGTCCATGGAATTCTCCAGGCAAAAATACTGGAGTGGCTAGCTAGTCTCTTCTCCAGGAGATCTTCCCAACCCTGGGTTTGAACCCAGGTCTTCTGCACTGCAGGTGGATTCATTACCATCTGAATCAACAGGAAGGCCTTTCAAAGGAATATTTACTCATTTCCCATTCCCCCACCCCACCCCCAGCATACTAGAGTTCTTGCAGTTCTTGGCAGTACTTGCTATTGCCAGACTTTTAAATATTGCCAATCAGGAAAGTATGTAGGTAATATTTAATTTTGGTTTAAATTTGCATTTCTCTCTTGACTAAACGAGAGTAAGGGTGAATAACTTTCCATACTTTTAGAAGCCAACTGAATTTCATCTTTTGTAGAGTGTTTGAATACTGAGGGATTATATAATAGTATGACCTCTGAAGAACTGATACTTGCAAACTGTGGTGCTGGAGAAGACTCTTGAGAGTCCCTTGGACTGCAAAGGGATCAAACCAGTCAATCCTAAAGGAAATCAACATTTGAAGGACTGATGCTGAAGCTGAAGCTCCAATACTTTGTCTACCTGATACGAACAGCTGACTCATTGGAAAAGACCCTGATGCTGGGAAAGACTGAAGGCAGGAGAAAAAGGGGGCAATAGAGGATGAGATGGTTGGATGGTATCACTGACTCAGTGGACATGAGTTTGAGCAAACTCTGGGAGATAGTGAAGGACAGGGAAGCCTGGTGTGCTGCAGTCCATAAGGCTGCAAAGAGTCAGACACGACTGAGTACCTGAACAGCAAAATACAGTATTGTATGCTAAGTTATTAAGGAAGAAACTGAAAGTAATTTGCATGTCATGTAGGTTATTGATTAGAAAGGTGGAGAGAACTTTGAATTAATCAAATAGGTAGGAAACTACTGTAGAAAATGAGATAATGTAAGAAAGCCTTTAACATAGTGAGTGGCAATAAACAATAAATTATTAATATTATTCAAAAGAGCCTATAAACGGGACTCCTAATAATAAAAGAGATAAAATGCAGGGTGTCGAGCTCTTATAGTTTCTTTTTTTTAATAAGGGGGAAAAAAATTCAGGAACTCTCTCTAAGTTACCACCTGCTTTTGGTGTCAGAGATATAACATCTTGAGCTTAATTACTATACTCTGACAATATATAAGAAACCAATCTCTTTTTTAAAATGTGATTTCCTTCCGTATTGTTAAATAGTGAGAAATTATATGGAGATTACCACAAAAAAATTCAAAACTGCTGATTTATGAAAGCCCTTTCTATCATAAAAACTTATTTCCAAAAAGAAATATGATTATATTTGTTTTGTTTTCTTTTCTTCTTTTATCATTATTCAGACTTTCCTATCACAAAAAATATCAAAAGCTGGAGGAAATCTCAGACAGATGAAGAAAGCACCTGTAAGGGCTTTTAATTCATGGCTAGAACTATTAGAACCAAAAACAAAATGTCTCTATTTACAAATAGAACAAATAGAATCTACAAATTTTTAAGTGCCAGTTGCTATTCTAGACACTAGGAAAGATATGTTAGAACATTCACAGTGAACAGAGAAATACATCCAAATCAAATTTTGGAAGAAGTAATGTAAGGTTGAATATTTTATTTTTCTAATGTAGATATTCTGTATAAATTGACCCATGGTTTTATTTTATTGACAATATCACTAAATTATAACACTGTAGAAATAGTCACTAGATCTAATTAAACAATTTTCCCTCTAAATAGACTTACATTTCGTGAATCAACTGCTGCATACATGATATCCATCCATCCCTTAAATGTTGCCTGAAAAAAAAGTCACACCATTGAATTTTTCCCCTCGCAAATTATAATTCTAGAAGAGACTAAATATCAGATTTATTAACCAAGATTTATTAAAAAACAGTATATAAAATAGTTTGAAATTAATATTTAAACTCTTTTGGCAAAGCTTTAAAACATATGCATTGAAAACTCTTCCTTCATGTTCTTTCATAACATCTTCCTATTTTGACTTTAACATCTATACTTAAATCATGACAAATTAGATTATAACTATGTGCTATCATAAAAGCAATTATCAACAACCTTTGATTCTTATGTATATATACAAGAATGTAACATGAAAAAATTTCACATATATAGTATTACCTTCAGACAAACTGAAAAATATGTTGCATTATTTGATCTTAAGGTTGTCTTTTCTGCTTATCTTTTCTAAATGATATTATCACCAACCACCAGTCATGATGGCTTGTTCTTGAAATTGCCAAATATACTATTTTGAGGTAATTATTCTGTAAGGGAAAGCTTTATAATCTAAAAACTATTATACCTAACTGCAGTTTACTTTTTAAAAATTTTGGTTGAAGAGACATAGTAAATCTGAAGACAGGTCATCAAGTCATGTACATTTGTTTTTCAGTTTCTTAATGCCACAGGACCCTGCAGTATTCATCTCGTGTTGGGTATCATGTTAGTGGGTTGTCTCAGGGAGCATGTGAACATGACTTAAGAGTGGTCCGTTGAGAAGCTAAATGGAGTTTTATGAAATTATAGCAGGCATAATAGACTCGATAGGAAGGTTTTCATTTGCAAGAGAGCACTCTCCCTATCTTAAGGCATTCAAGCAACAGGCAGGAAGCTGGATAATCAAGGGAGGAGTCTATGTGAGGGGAATATTTGGTTATGGTGTTCGTGAAAGTTGGGCGAGTGGAGACTTGGTAAGGGTTTAGATACTGTCTGGTATCTGAGAAGGACAGAAATCTACCACCTCTCCCCCTACCTTTCCAATCCCATCCTTGGGCCAATGCCTCTACTTTGCTCAGACTGGGGAAAACACTGGGAAACTACATAGAAATTTCAGTAACAAAGACTTGTTTTGGGAACCTAAGGCATAGTCTGGGAAACTTTAAACTTTATACAGCCATCCAGTCTCCAGCATGGTGCAGAAAGACAGTTCATCCATGATTAGGGAAGAATCTAGGCAGATGGGCTTAAGGAAATATGTACTGCAAACAGTGAGCAAGAATATCATACTCATTTTAGTAACACATCACAGTGAATAATAAAGTGGTTACTTACTACTTGAAGCAGAGAAAGATACCCAAGTCCCACATTATCAAAGTTGACTTTCACGTTTTTCCAACGGGCAGTTTGGTTGCTATCTATGAGGGCCTTACATTCGCTGTAGTTGTTGACCACGCTGACATCAAACATCTCTCCAGTGGTGTAGTTAATACAGTGATAAAACTTGCCAGCAAAAAGATTCACCCCCATGATACTGAATATCAACCAAAAGATCAGGCAGACCAGAAGTACATTCATTATGGATGGAATGGCTCCTAAAAGAGCATTGACAACAACCTAGCACAGCAAGGAGGTGGGAAAAGAAGTGAAAAGAGAGCCAGCTCTAGGGAAGAACTAGAAATTTAGGTCAGTATACATGAAAACTCAACAGAGAAAATATAAAAATCATTCCAGTATGAAAGCTTGATTCTCTTTTTAAAAAATTAAAATAGCTACTGTAAAAACAGGCTTTTGAAATTGGTAAACTGAAAAGAATTTAATAGCTACTAAAGAATTTAACAGCATTCCTTTCTATGATACCATGCACACAGAAATAAAGAAGCACAAACACCTCCACATATCATCCATTTCTGGCTGTGTTTGCAACATTCAAAGAAAATCCTAAGTAACTATTTTAAAATATCACAAAACAACACCTCAAAGTTCCTTTTCGAATAGCCAAACCTTCCTGGACAGGGTATCATCGTTTCCTCAGTGCTGAGGGTATGTAGTCTCAGGTTTTATGCCTCAGGGGATGACAAATGGCAGTATAAATGCCTCCCAGTTCCTTTGTACCACCTTTCTAAATGAGGGTTAGATTTCCACAGCTGACCTACTTTTTAGCTAGCTCAGCCTTTGTTTGAGAGCAAAAAGGCCAGGACTGGACTTTAAAAGGCTCAGGAGACATCATATGGAGCAGGGAAGAAAAAGGATGAGGAATGATTTGGTGGTTTCAAATTACAGTGAGTGGGATTTCCTTCACATTTATAAACTGGAATGAACATAAGTAATGTTAACTCACATCAGAAGTCTACACAACATGCTAGAAATTTCCCACAGAGTGAAAAAGTCTAGGTAGAAGCAATCTCATTGATTCTAATTAGAAGCCATCATTCAGGCATTATGTTGTGTGAGTGCCTCCAAAAGTGTCATTTATGGATGTCTGACAAATATTACTGATTGACTGGTTACATGAATATGAATGTAGACGACACAAATTTAACCTGGATGTGTCATATCTAAGGTTCAAAACAGCAGTTTATACTGAAAGTGTTAGTTGTGTCCCACTCTTTGTGACTCCATGGACTGTAGACCTCCAGGCTCCTCTGTCCATGGAATTCTCCAGGCAAGAATACTGGAGTGGGTAGCCATTCCCTTCTCTAAGGGATCTTCCTAACCCAGGGACCGAACTCGGGTCTCCCGTATCACAGGCAGATTCTTTACCACCTGAGCCACCAGGGAAACCCTGTTTTCAATTATAATTCCAACAAATACTAAAGCATTTGGTCTTACCCTCATTCCTTCAAACCGGGATAAGGCTCTCAGTGGCCTCAGAGCTCTTAGTGTTCTGAGGGATTTGATGGCACCAAGTTCTGAGTATCCCAAAGCATTTGCAGTTAAGCTAACCAATGAGACCTATACAGAAAAAAGCAACACAATTTTCTTATTTATAGGCAAAAAACGTTTACACAACTCAACCTTGCTCTATGCAATAAACCAGTTCCAAAACTTTAGTGAGTATCAAAATCACTTGTTGCAAACAAGGATGGCTGGCCAAGGTTCGGATGAGATCTGAAAATTGGCATTTCTTTAAGTTCCCACTTAAGCTTAATGATACTGGCCAGTGAACCACTGCTATAAACTTATGAAAAAGCAGCAGCAATATATGCTCTTTTTATCAAGATTCTTGACAAGAAAATGTAAAAGAATTAAACGTAAAGAAAGACAAAGAATGACACCAAAATGAAATTTTCATCTATAGATGTATAAAACTTTATCATTTCTCATATTAGTTAGCAGACCTGAAAGAGAAAAGAAATCCTAGTATAAGTATGCAAGTAAACTATGCAAGATACAGTTGACTCTGAATATAAGCACACTCAGAAAGATCTAGATTTCTAAACAGTGGTTTAATCTTATTGTACATGTCAGTGTGAAGGCCTAAGATGATTAATTAGGGAAAACTGAGATCATTAAGTTTAAAAAGTTGAGATTTTAGTATAACTAATTAGAAATTGTCAGAACAATGTTTTCTTTAGTTATTTATACATATGGCTAATGTAGTTGATATAAGTTGTAACATCACAGTGAAAAAAGAAAAGAATAACTGCCGCAGGTGGCACAGAAATGTCTGATTTCCTTTGAAAGTACATAGAAAACCCATTAAAACTATATAAGCTAATGAAAAGATATTTTCTCCTAAGTGCACCTAAATTGCAAAAGCAGGAAAATGAAAACAGATGTGTAATATAGCTTTTAAGAATATGGTGTTAGTGGTTATTTGAAAATTACATTTTTTAAGAAAAGTAAATGAGTCACATAAAAATATTTTACAACACAACTTGACTTATTCAAACTAATTTTGCACATGTAATGTGAAATAGAAAAGCCTTTAAATTTGGAAAAAATTAATCTATAAAATTTTCTTAAGGAGTTTCTATATTTTTCCTAAAATCTAAATTTTTAGACTTTGCAAATCTCTTCAAAGACAAATGAAAGATAAAGTTACTGAATTATCATTTATTGTGAAGATTTTCTAGGTATAAAACATGAGGATTTATAGTACTTTATCTTCTCTGAAGATAGGATGAAAAAGAGATAGGTATAAATTAAAGAATGAAAGATATAAGTTAGACATAAAAAAATTCTGAACAGGGGCAGTATTTATTGGCTAAAGAAGTAGTAAACATTCAATTTTATGTGTCTTGTGTAGTTGAACATGAAAAGGAGATACATGTAGACCTTCTTCTCTTTCTGGTCTTCTCCTTTTGGCCTCTAAATAGTCATTTTCTTCCATTCCATCACTGACATCTCCAGCAAATTTCTTTCCCTAAAAAGGGTGAGCTTTTCCTGTCACTTTCCATAGATACTCTTCAATAGAAGAGTATCTTTGAGAACTCTTCAATAGCTTCTTTGCTAAATCACTAAATCATAGATCTATTAATAAATCTCTTTGAATGGCATCTCAGGTCCTTCAACCTCTTCTTCAACTTAGCTTTCTTATCAACCAATTACAAAGTATCAACCAATTACTTCCCCTCACCCTGTGGCACAGAGCTTATCCTACAGGGCTACTTGGTGATTGAACAAGCCCTGCTAGGCATGCAGCAGTGTCTTCAAGCCTCTGATGTCCTTGCCTCATCTGTGCCTGCTGACATTGACATCCTTCAAATGCCAGTTCACACTGCACCGCCCTCATGAAGCTTGTGCTTCCTCCTCAGCGAAGCAGATGAAACTTCTAACAGAGATGTCATCTTCTCATTGTATACATATCTATCCTCACTAGTTGCCTGTAAGCTCCCATAGGCCCAGAAAATGGCATACATATTTGTCTCTTCCATACAAAATAGATGATTGATAAATATGTTTGACATAAATCAAAGCATTAATGTATTATCATAATAATTTTCTTAAATCCAAGAAGATAAACATCAGAATATACTAGGTAACATGAACAGCAGCCCACAGATTTCTCTTAAGATTTTCTTTATATTTAGGTAGTGTTGACTTAATGCCTTTATTATTACATGGATATAGTAAACATAATATATTTTTACTAAACATTTACAGTGTATTTTCTGTACACAGAAAATAAAGTATCATCCATAATCTCATTATACAAATAAAAGAACTGGCATTGTAATGGTATATTTTTCGTTTGCTCATAGTGCTCAAACACATGTGATTTAAAGTATTATTATTGTCATTTTGTTGCCAGTAAACTTTTGATATAATTCCACATGTAGCTTTATATGTTAATATAAATAATAGGCTTGCTTTATGTAGATTCAGCAGAGGAAAAGATATTTTAGTCTCTTAAATTCAAAGAAATCTCTTTATTTCTTACAAATTTTTTCTGTTTGGTGACTAGAAAACTCCTACTAAATTAAGTTGAACTTTTTTCACCTACAATTATAAAAACTAACTTTTTTCATGAAAGAGTCCATTTTTCTCTTTTTCTAGTATATGTAAATTTTATATATCATAATATTTCTTTAATTGCCAAGGAGTTATTATAATCAACAGAATGTTATCTTAAAGTTCAGTACTTAAAACACACATTGTTCTTTCCTAAAAATTTCAGTGTCTTTCTTCTTAATCTGAGTATCATTCTATCCCCTCCCTCCAGGCTTCCTGTCCCTTGTTCCCTCTGGCTCTCCTAGTTTTTTCCTAGACAAAAGGCCTTAAATTTCTAGACAAAATTAGCTATTAATTTAAAGGCATTTAAGAAGTATATCTTCAAAATTAAATAAAATTGATTTTTAAAATTTTGTCTGGTTAAGATCTTCAAAAATTTCCTTCAGAAGTAAGGGAATAAACTCATATTCATATTTTTTAAAGCCTCTTACTTTCTGGCACTGCATCTTATTAATAGATTATGTTCAACACCAATATAGTTTCATAAAACTCTTAAGTAATTGGCCCATAGCTAATCTGTTTCTACGATCATACAAATCAAGAAGTGTCTCTTGCTACTTGGACTTCCATATTTCTTTGTAATACTAATGCACCTGTGGGACATACTTTGCAACAGGTTCTGGAGATGACAAAAATGCTAACATCAAAGATGCCCGTGAAGAATTTAAATACAGTTATATGTGAGAGTGATAAAGCAAAACTTCTACATATATATATAGCTTTGCATAACTTGGGATTTTAAATATTAATTTAACTATTTTGTCTGTGAAGCTCTGGCAAAAAACGTTTTGGGGCATTTTCTTATTGGGAAGATGGGACCCATCATTTATATTTGGGGTCCTGGAGTCGTAACGAGTGCCTACTATGTGCCAGGCACCAAGCGAGGACTAGAAGTTAACATTCACATGCCAATGAAATGAAACAATAACAGGCAGAATACTCACATCGACGATCAGGAAATCTAGCCAGCACCAGGCATTGGTAAAATACACTTGAAAGCCATAGGCAACCCACTTGAGAAGCATTTCCAGGATGAATATATAAGTGAAAACTTTGTCAGCATATTCTAACATGGTTTTAATGGTTTTTCGCTGTTCAATATATATATCTTCAAAGGCCTGTAAGTGAAAAAACTCCATTGAATTTCATTGTCATAAACTGTCTCTAATTGGTATTTTATTAGAAAAAATCATGCTTGCAAGCATCTTTTCAGGTGCCTAAGGCTGGAAGACTTCATGCTTCCTAGAGCTGCATTTTGCTCTGTAGTTATCTATATGCAAGTGACTCTTAATTGGGCATTTCAGTCAACAAATCAATTCAAATAACGTTTAAATTTTGGTATCAAGATATCCCATCAGAGCTCAAAATTTTTGAGACACTGCCAGCTGCCTCTGTCTACAATAGGAGGCACAAAATCATCTGCATGCATATATGCTTGCTCAGTGCAGAGTTGCTTGACTGTAACCCTAAAACTGTAACCCTAAACCAATTTAGTGATGAAAATATAAGGCAAGGAGTCCCCTTAGCTTGGGGAAGGGGTAGGGATTAGTCTTTTGCTTTCTCTCTCTCTCTAGCTCAATCTGAGCATGTATGTAGTTGTCAAGAACCTCCCTTTGCCACTATTCTGCAGAGCTCTTTGGAAAGGGCAAGGGAACTCACTTGCAGGAGTCCCTGGGTCTTCTGGAATGAAAAGGGCATTAATAATTCAATCCCTTTACAGGAAAACCTATCAGGACTTGGTGATCTGGATCAAGGAGAAAGGAGAAATTGGTTTTCATTTTTGTTGGTTTTCTGACCATTCTGTTGAGTGAAATCAGATATAAAATAAGTCTGCAATGATCTCACTTTGCTACTTGTGGGTAATTTAATCTATTTACCATTCAGTGTGGTTGGCACTAGTGAACTGGCATGAACACAGCAATGGAGCTGATGTTAAGCAGATTGATATTTAGCTGATAATCCCATACCCTATCTACATATTGATTCTTAATAGGAACTGGTTCTGATGACTAAAAGTTAGAAGGGTCGTTCTTTAAATATTCACAAAAAATCATACTGATCTAAATTTGATTCAATCTCAGGCCTATGGCAGAACAATAAAACTTGCTACTTAGCGAGCCTCTCACACTGTGCTAAAAATATCATACAATGTCTCTCATCTTCACAAACACCTTCTTGTGAAAACATGCAATAGGAGGTTGATTGAGGGGAAAGGTAAATGGTTTCAAATAAAAGTAAAGGAGCAGATCATGTTACCTACCAGTGCCCCACTGCTGACCAGAATCATGAAGACAATGAAGGTTTCGAACCAGTTATGCTCCACTATCTTATAGCAAGTTTTTCTCAAGTTCCACCAGAGTTTCCCTTTGCCTTCTTCTATGCTTATCTGACAACACTTAAATTTCCGCACACAGTCTAAAATATGTCAAAGTAAATGAAGAAAAAATATCACTCTTTGATTATGCATATTTGTGTTGGTGGGAGATTCACCTACATTATTATTACCTGATACGTTATAAATAACTTTATTTTTTAAGATGGCTTTCATTTGTAGACATAGAAATCATCTATACATTTTAAAATCATTCATCCAAAAACTACTTTTTAGTGCTTATGGGGCTAGTTTAATGGTCTAATAATATAGTATAATGTATTGCATTATAAAACCACAGTACAGAACAAGAGAAAGAAATGAAATCACCAAAGGTTAGTATTTCCATCCTATCCCCATCTTATAATTCCACTCACATTTGAACTTTACATGTGATTTCTAATTAGTTCACTAATTACAGTGTAAACATTTCCCTTTTAGTCACAACTAAATAGAATTTTGGAAAGTTTCACAATACTTCTCTAAATAAGATAATCAGACATAAACAAGAATTGAGATATCCTACTATTATTGAATATGTGTGTTTCTGCAACTCCAGCCATTATCAGTAATAATGTAACAAACACCTTTGTGGTCTACTAGATCAAAGGCTTCTCAACAAATATTTATTGCATACCTGTTTATTCAAGGAATTATACTGGACAATTATAATACTAGAATATGCAAAATACCATGTCTCTATAAAAACAATATGCATTTCAAGTAGGGAAGATTTGTCCATAGATATCATAGTTATAGAAAGAAAAATATTGTTAGAGTTTACCAGCACGTTAATTCCTAATATTAAGCTGTACAGAAGAAGCGGATTTGGGGTTAAATTTTGAAGGAATGGAGAAGCAGTGAAATAAATAAAATTTGGTGGCACAGAAGTTTGGAAATTGTATGAAGTAGAAAATCGGGAATTACCACCAGAAAAGACAGCTGGAGCCAATCTGAAAAGGACCTGAAAGATTCAGTTAGAGAACTTAGATTTTGTGTGCTACCTAATGGGGACAACACTGAAGGATTTATTTGGGGTTATGAAGATTTCCTGATGAGAATATTGATTTAGAATGATCTATGCCTATACAAGGCATTGGATGGATAGAAGACAAAAGATGGACAAGTAGTCAGGAGACTAGGAGATTCAGTCAATGTAACATGAAAGAAAGTGAAAACAAGGGTGATGGTGGTGACAATGATTGGGGCAAAAGAGTCTACTAAGTTGACAGGACCTGGCAGCACATGTATATGGGGGCCCTGGGGTGTGAGAAAGAGAAGATTTCTGACATAGAGGCTTAACTAGGACAGAGAGCTCTTGTTCAATGAATAGAAAAATGGAAACCTCATTTTGAAGAAGCATAATATTTTAATGCACAGATATTTATCAGAGGCTACTTTATAATGTCAGCCTGATCATATACTTTGTTTCATGAAAATTTAATGAAGTTCCTCTTAAATATTATTAGTTTCTCAAGTAATAAATAAGTAGCATATATTTCTTGTTTCTTTGAGGGTGGTCTTTTTCATATTTCTGTCTCCCAAAGGATTAAAAAGAGTAACATGCCTTGAAAATATTTGTTGTAATGAACTAGATGGAACTGAAATTAGTTTTTTTTTTTTTCCCTTAAACAGGATATGAGATGAAAAAATACTGTTCAATATAAAAAGACCAATGTTAGTGGGAAGGATAAATGCCAAATTTGGGACACTGGTTCACTTCTGAGAGGGAAGCAAAGATGGGATAAGGAAAGGGTACAAAAGGGGTCAAATCTGTATCTGATTTATTCTTAAAAAGCCTGAAGCAAATACAACAAAAATATTCAAACTGTTAAAGTTGGTTGGTGCTGCTGCTGCTGCTAACTTGCTTCAGTCGTGTCCAACTCTGTGCGACCTCATAGACGGCAGCCCACCAGGCTCCCCAACCCCTGGGATTCTCCAGGCAAGAACACTGGAGTGGGTTGCCATTTCCTTCTCCAATGCAGGAAAGTGAAAAGTGAAAGTGAAGTTGTTCAGTCGTGTCCAACCCTTAGCGACCCCATGGACTGCAGCCTACCAGGCTCCTTTGTCCATGGGATTTTCCAGGCAAGAATAGTGGAGTGGAGTGCCATTATCTTCTCGTTGGTTGGTGGTGAGCGTCTAAGTATTTTTTATTATTGTTTTCTATAATGTTATGGTTGCTGATGCTTTATACTGAAATGTTTTTTAACTTCACAAAAAACCAAATGTTGATATTACCATAAACATTATTAATATATTGTGACCCTAAAAATAAGCTAATTGTCTGGGAAAGAATAACAACTAGTGCTACATAAATTATTTTCGTGATATATCTAACCTCTTGAATATTCTGTGAAGTCATAATTTTTTTTCAAAATCAACTAACTTCATTGAAATATATGCAGAATTTTGGAGGAAAGAGTGGAAAAAAGTGGCTTCCCTCATAACTTATGCTGAAAAAATATCTCTTCCTCAGGAATAATTTAAAAATTGACAATGAATACAGAAATATTTGTTTTCTCTAATGCATTCAAGTCCAAAAGCAATAGGTATATGCAACCTACTCATCTGCAAAACTCTTAAATCTATTGACATCAATTTTGACACTTGCATAACCACATATTTTTAAAATTAGCTTAAAGTTCAAACTAAACAGCTTTAATGTTCTTAAATGAAATGAAAATGAAGGGAACATTTCTAGAATTAGTTGTAATTAAATAGCATTACTACCATCATTATTAAAATAAACTTTTGTTCAAGCAATTATTATATGGTATTGAATTTGGGGCTAAGATATAGGATGAATTATTAAATAGATATTAAGCAAAAAATGAGTTAAGGATGGAGTGATTCCTAGGGTTTTAGAGAAACAGTTCTGTACCTACAATAGAGATTTGTCATGGTCTGTGCTATTGCACTAATATTTTATGCCTCTTTGTTTGTAGTACACTCCCACATTGAATCTAGATTGGCACTTTTGCTTTGGTGAACAGGACTGAGAAAACCTGATGTAAGTGGAGGATTGATAAGTGCTTGGCATTTAGGCTTCCTCTCTCACTCCTTTTTTTTCACCATGAGGACAAGCCTGGGCCAGTGTGTGGATGGAGCTGAGTCAGGCAATTGTCTCATCTAAGACCTCAGCCCTATGACTAATCCCAACCAAGATCAGCAAGATCATCTTGCCAGCCATGGGCTTGTGAACAAAGATGCGTTTTTTATTATATAATAAGTTTTGTGTGCTTTGGTACACATTATTATTGTTCCAGAGATCCACACCTCAAAAAACATAATTTTAGCTTTCTTCACAAAATCCTTTTAGTATTACTCCAATGACATAGTGCCCCATACTGTATCACTCAGTATATTTTGATATTTCATTATTGATTATCTAGTATCATTCAGAATGAATAATATATATTTGACCTTGACAGATACAGGTAATTGTTATTCATGGACAGTTCCTTTTTAATAACATATCCACATTTATTTAAGAATGTGTTCTGATATCAAATGGCAGAGTATTCATGGACAGTTTTAAATGTAAACTAATCAATTCTTACCATTATAACCTGACAAAACCATAAACAGTAAATTACTCCTTCAACTTAAATTTTTTTTTCTTTTATTTTTTAAAGGTAGAGAGAGAGATGTATGATTTAGTTTTCTTGCCTATCAAAGATTCTACAAGGCCACCAAAAGACCCAGATAGTCAGCAGCATTTCTTAGAGTAGAACAGGATTCACAAAAGTAGAAAACTGGATCTGATGCCATAAATTAAATCTTAATTTTTCAAAAATTATCTATGCTTTGATATAGAAAAAGCAACCAACAAACAAGTAAATGTACAGTTGCTGGATACCTATAGAGGATTAGAACGAGCCAGAGAGGGAGAGAAGAGACGGCTAGATCAGATTGAGGTCTAAGGAGCGTCCATGCTCTGTTCCTTACCTTCTGTAAAACAGGCTTCAGGCTCCAGAGATTCTTCAGGCTCAGCTTCAGGTTGTTCTCCCTCAGCGGGAGCTCCTATATCAACTGTGCTGCCTTCAGATGAACTAGTGGCATTTAGCTTCTGAAAATCAATTCCACAGAAAAGCTTTTAAAATAGTTTCTTTAATCTATAATATACAAATTCCAAAGGCGTACCCTTAAGTCTTCTGTATTCATTTCCTTGATCTGTAATTTAAGAATATCTTAAACATAATGCCAGTCCGCTTTGGTAGAGGTGGGGGGTCACAAGATTAGATACAGCACCACAATATTTTTTTTCCTTTAAAAATGTGGTGCTAACAACTTAAGTAATCTTTGATTAAGCTCCTGTATAAAGAGAGATTCTGAAATAAAATCATGCAGAGCTTACATAAGCTGCCAGAGTCGTATGGTAGTCTGTGATCTTGCTTTTGTGAAGTAGTTTAGTTGGTTTTATTCTAAAATTGTGACCCAACCAACAGAAGCTGCACAAATGTATTTTCATGTCAAATGCAGAAAAGATTTGATCAAACGCACATAAACAGCAAAGTCTAAATTTATCCACTTTTCATTGACATGAAAACATATACCACTGGTTGTTATTAAACATATTCTCTAATTTTCTAATTCTGAAAAGAGCAGCACATTGTTAGCTTTATAGCAAGAGCCGATTGTTTGCATTCTCTTTGGCCAATGCACTCCCGTGTTTCATTGTGCATTTGGAAACTACTTGTTACTCTGGCACTCTTACCTCTCCAGGTAATAAAGGCAGAAATGAATCTTTGGTTGTTGTTTTGTTTTCCTTTAAGTTAAATCAAATACCACGGAAAGAAAAATATAATACAAAGAAGTTGTTTTAAATCTTGAAATGCAACAAACGTTAGCCAAGTCAGGTCGTTCATGGGGTCAGCATAAATGAAGGGATCCAGTCTTTAACCCGGTCTTAAAATGCTGCAGGAACGACACAGGGCCAGGTATGAGTGCCACATGGAATCAGAGTAGTTTGGGCCACAGCATTCTCGGACCTGTTACAATGTTATTACTATTAGTGCATAACATTAGGAGATGGCTGAGCTGACAGGAGCTACTTTATAAAGGGGATGAGGTAAGCACATGATAAAATGCACACTGAAGTATGTTGAACCCATTCTAAAATAGATGTTGTGCTCAGTACTACTGGAAACATTTTATTTATATTTGGGCTAAGGATTCTATGGATTTCCCTAAGAAGCTGGTTCCTTTATTTTCTGAAAATAATTTTCTTTATATAAAATATTTCCTTGGCATAGTGGTGCGGATAAAGTAAAAATATTTATACACACTATAGATATAACAAAAATACTTTTGTGTATAATTTAACAATACCACTGATAGAAGCATAAATATCATAGGTCTCCTCCATTAAAACTAGTTTAGGATTATTTTTAAAATCAACCAAACCATTTAAAATTAAGGATTACATATTATAAGGCACTTGAAGTTTATTGATTTCTTTTTCTACTAACCAATTATATCACAACATTGGACAGATACTCAATTATAGTATCTTTGTTTTTACAATTTGAATAAACAGTATTCTAAGATGAAATATTACATGACTTTTTATAATTTCCTATCCTTTATAGCTAAATTATCCTATCAATCTTATTTACATGAAGATGTTATAGCATTTGGGACCTGAAATATTGATCATATTATTTACTGGATATTGAAACATGACATAAGTAATCAGAATAAGTGAAGCATAGTTATAACTAATCTAACTACAAACAGCCCAAACAAGAAATGGAAAACATTCTTTTTCGGAAAAAGGATCACACTGCAATTATGGGTTGGTTAGGGATTAGAGGATGATTCTAGGTTTACTGTACCCCACTTTGCCAGGATTCACTAGAGAATTTCTTTGATGATCCATTTTCAGGGCGCTCCATACTGGTGAATGGCTGCATCAGAACTTGCAGCAGTGCTAGGTATATACAGCTCAGGTACTCTATAAATATTCTTTAGGGAAGGTGGGAGGGAGGTTCAGGATAGCGGGAAAAAGGTATACCAGTGGCTGATTCATGTTGATGTATGGCAAAAATCATCACAATATTGTAAAATAATTATTTTTCAATTAAAATTAATTTTAAAAAATTAAAAACGAATGAATGAATGAGCTTATTCATAAAAGAATGAAGGCTAGTCCTTGATAGTGACTAGCAGAAGTCACCAGACAACATTCCATGGAATCTTGGTTTAAAATATTCAAAAGTTCCCAGATGATCTCTGTAACATCAACTACAATACCTTTCATTTAGTGTGGTGTCTTAGTACCGACACTGAATTAATAGATATCTTTCTAATTGAAGTCAGACATTTGTATAGTTAGAGGTCAGATTATTTTTTAAAGGTGCAACATAAAAGTTTTGTGTTTCTAGAATATGTATCTCATCAGATTTAACCCTCTGAAGCAAAGATCATGCTTTTGTCATCTCTGCCTCCCTAGGAACTATCACTAATGCTTGTGTTTAATAGATATTCATTGAATAAATGAATGAATGCCCAATTCAGGAACTCTTTTATCCTACCACTAACTACTTCTAACACCTCCTATCTTCTACATTCACATTCAAGGGAATACACATAACATTCTCTGGTCAGTACAGAGAAACACAAATCTCTTCCACATTCTAACTTGCGTAAGTAATGACCAACGACCTTTAGAATCAGAAGCTGTCTAAACAACAGGCCTCCAATTAATCAGACCTAAGATGAAACTATAATATAAACTATGAAATAAATAAAGTGTATTAATTCTGGAAAGTATTAGGAAAACTGACACTAACTCATTTTGACAATGTCTTTTCTCTTTCTACTCTATGTACATGGATCTACAATTCAGCAGTATTCTGGAACCTCTCTAAGGAAATGCAATCTCATCCTTCTCCATCTTCCTCCTCAAGTGGAACAGCACAAGATCTGCCTGTTACATGATACTTGAGTACCTTTACTTGTTCTACAAATTAAAAAGCTAGGGTGTACATTAATCCTCAACACCAACCAATCCAGTGTCTAGTTAGAGAAAGAAATGTGGCTTTAATTATCTTGTCAAAAGGCATACTGAGTTAGTAGCTGGATTCAAGGTCTTCTGTATCCCACTTTCTTAGGATTCCCTAGAAAACTATTTGATGATGCATGAGTTAAGCCAATCTTTATCAATTTAAAACATTTAGTAGATGTGATATGTAACTAAACATTGTAGGTTCAGAATAGTGCTCGGGATACTGTGCTTCCCAAGTGTCATGACCATGAACTTAGTATTAGTTTGTTATAGTCACATTCTTATATGTATTAATATAAAGTTAATATAAAGTTAAATATACATTGGGACATTTCATTAAAAACCTTACTTTAAATAACAATCTTAAGATGTAGGCAAGAAATTCTGATTTATAAAACCTTTCCTGACAACATCAATTCAAGGACTTTCTTAAAATCACATGAGGCAAATATCATAGTATTATAAAATATGTTAACTAAAACAGTTAAAATGCATTAAAGAGTCTATAAAATCCAAACGAATCAAATTAAGAATATAAAAACCTTTCAGCTTCAGATAAGGTCGTAATCTCGATTAATTCTAACTACAGTACAAATTCACCAATTAGAATTGTCAAATGTACATCATTTATATGGAATTATCAGTACTAATATACTTAAAAGAATAACTTTCAAATAAAGCTTCTCTGTAAATTTTCCAACGTAGGCATCATTCACTGCAAAATGCCACATGACTAAGAGAGCAAAAAATTAACCACTTAGAAATAAAACCAGTTCTTCTTCACTTTGGTAAAATTTAGATGTTTAGGTTCCCTTATTATCATCTGTGCTTATTTACTGGAAGACAAGTGAACTGAAGAATACTGTTGGTACAGCCCTTCCCTACTCAAACCTTAAAATATGGATGTCCTCCAATGTCAGGATAGTCAAGAAATCAAACATGCATAGAGAATTATTTGCTATGCCTGGCATTGGCAATCATTTATTTTCAGGTGAAATATTAGCTGAACTTTTATTTTTTTAAGTGAAAATTTCATGGTACATGGTTCTCACTACTGAAAGTCTGCGAGGTCCCTCAAAGTGCGGGGTCACCATAATCATAGGAGTTAAGCAGGGCAGAATTGTATTTTGCTTAATGATCTGATAAATAAATATCAAGTTACAATATTTCATTTCTTATTTTTAAACACTATACTTCTAACTTTTACTTTCCACATCACTGACAAGCTATTACCAGATATCTGCCAAACTCATATTCTTTCTCTCAGAAAGTAGAAGCATTTTTTAAAATATAACACAGAAAAGGGACAGAAACATCATTTTCTATTAAGTTTTTCAAAGGTACACTTTTTTCTTATTATGAAGTTAAAATATTTTTAAGAAAATGTAAACAATAGTCAATAAAAGAAACTGGGATTTTTTTTAAAAAAAGAGAGACAATTAAAATATAGATTAAATCAAGTATTCCATATCTATTTTGGTCACCAAGAATGACAATTCTTTGCTCCATGTGGATCCTAATTCTAGTCTGTACTTAAGGAATTCTAGGTCATTTTATGTGAAAAATCCTAACATCAAAGTAATGAAAGTGATGGTTATGGTTCCTATGGGATAGGCTAAAGTGGCACATTAATAATAGAAAGGAATTTTTCTTCTTAGTAAGGAAAAGCAAAATCAAAACTGTTATTATCATCATATTACATTATTCAAATAATCATTTTTGTCTTTATAACAGACACATTTCAAAACTCTGTAATCCATAAATAGCAAAGTTTTAAATATCTTTCTTGGGATGGCAAAAATAACCCTTAAGTCCCAAAGATTCATGTTTGGTCAATTTTTTTTTCTCTTACATTTAGGATATTTAGAGCTTTTTAAAAATTCTTCAATCACTATCCCACTGGAAAACTTTCCCTTGAAGATTTATACATTCTCCAGGATAAAATTATAGATGGGTTTTTACTGAAACCATCCTACCACTGCTTACCCAAACCTTCCCTACACAGCCTTCTCTCCGTTCTGACTCCCTGTCCTAGAATTCAGTATACTGCTCTCCTAGGG